CTAATTGTAGAAGAAGCTGTTACGATTAGGGTGGAGTATTTCCCAATTTAAAACATTTTTTATTACAAATAAAGTATATTGTGCTGGTAAATATTCCTAAAAAAGGTATAAAACTCATAATATCACTTTAGTTACCGAATAAAATTGTAACTTACAGTTCCATGCCATTAAAGGGCGTCCATGATAAAGAAAACATTTACACTAGTTTATTTATTACAAAATTATTTTTAGGATTAAACAGCCAAGAAACAACAAGTCTTATCCGAAGGACCCGCAACTTTCACTTCAAAGTGCCGAGCGCTTGGCGAAGGAACATTTGCTACCTATTTTTTTATTTATTGACTTAGGTCAGTCGCGGCCGAGATGAATATATTGGAGTTTCTAAGAAAAGGTTACTCTACAGCCTGGAAAATTCTGAATAGTTTCTGTAATTTCTTTGGAGTTCATAATAATTTTATCAACTTCATCATTATTAGATGTTGGAGAAATATACTTTTTTTTAAAAGTTAAATTACAAGTGTCTAACCAAACAACCAACCATATATTGTCATGACGTTTAATCTTTTCGACTAAATTTCTTTTCAACCACACTGTGCTGTATTCAATCCTTGCACCACTATCGACTATGTGCCCACCATAAAATTTCTTTTTTTGTACTATTTAGAACAAACCTTTTCAGCCAAAGGCCTTTATTATCAGATAACACAACAGGCACATAGCTTTTCTGACCTAATGGTGGTTGTGTAGGTTTGGAAATAAATTTGCCAAGCTCGTTTTCTGACATACTAAATAGAAGAATTACTAATTATTTTGTAAAGAGTAGCAATGATCTAGCACTGATGAATGTTTGGAAGTTTCTGTGTCTGTGAAATTTAGGTGTCCCTCTTTTATGTCGCACAAGATTTCTTGTTCTGTAAGTTCAAGTTTCCTCCTCATCTATATCTTCTGGCCTCTTTCCCAGTATTTTACCTGTAAGAAATGGAAAGTTCGATATTACATGAATGGCATATACCTAAAATTATATAAAAGCAAAGTAAGGCAGACTATGAAAGGCTCCCCAGACCATTCAAAATTTGTGCTAGAGGTATACTAATAAAATATATTTGCAGCATAAAAGTGTTTATCTTGCTATAATTGCAAAACTAAAAATTGAAACTTAATATAATGAATGAATACACATTGTTTTCATTACATAAGCATACAGAAGGAGTAATGTAAACATGGTGTCCACATAGAGAACACAGTGATTTAGTGCAAAAATAAAATGTTTCTAACATAAAATGCCAAAGAACCATACGCTCACCTTCCTTAGAAGTACTTTGAGGAAAATTACAAAAATACAAGACACTGATGCACATTGAGAGCAAATACTTTTTTGTATAATGCTTCAGGTTTGATTTTAAGGAATATGAATTTTAAGATTTTTCTGCTTTATGTCACTGATTTGACCTTTTGTAGATGTTCTTGATTCATAGTTATGGCACACCTTCAGATCAAAAGCCATCTTTTATTGCCCTCTTATGTTTGTTCTTTACAAAGATATAGCCCAGAAAGTATTTTATTTATGACGTTAACATAGTACATTTGACCTTTAGTTGGGCCATGATATACATGTACTATCAGAAAAAAACAATATATATTTGTCAAGTCTAAGCTTCCATTGTTCTACATTAGGAAGTTATATGGTCTGGACACTATTGCATGAACAGTCAGACAGATTGATATAATGAATCCTATATATAATCCCCCCACTCCGTTTCTAAAACTTAGGGGGGGGGGGGGTTACACCAAAAATGCAGGTTGAAAATTATGAAGACATACACTCCAGACCAACTTTGACCAGTTACGCACAATTACATTGTAAGCATCATCTGGAAATGATGAGGTAAAAAAGTTAATTGTAATATATTATACTTTCATGTAAATTAGTTGAATCTGATTCGTCGAGAAACATTTGTTAAAAAACACTATTACCCACTGAATGATGAAGCCATGCCCTCCAGCGTAGCAACAGTCAACATTGCTTGACGACGGGTGATATTCCAAAGAATAGTGACTGCGCAGAATTTGTGCGCACAAGGTTCACTATTATATGTTTTTGTATAAAACATTCAGTATAATATAATAAATATTGCATGTAGTTGAGTGTCCCTCGAAAACCATTGTCAACCTCGGCTGCGCCTCGGTTGACAAGGGTTTTCGTGGGGTGAAAATTTTCAATGTTACACTCAACTATATGCAATATGTATATAATATCGTTCTATTAAGTAACCACAAAGCACCTTTTCTTTAGGAAAGGAAAAAAAAAAGAGATTCAGTAACATATAGATTTTAAGATCCCATATACAATCAACACCATTTTTTACAATATTGTTATATAACAGTATTAGATTAAAAGGACGAAATTATAATATAATTTCTAAGTACCTTAAATATTCCATCCTTCTAGGAAACAATCTTTCCTTCCCACAGGGTGTCCTGACCTTGGTCGGTCCAAAGGTGTTTAAAATATTTTCCTATTATTTCTAGAGGTTTTAATGGTGTATCCTTCACAGCATCAGAACTTCTTGTTATAGTTTTTTTTTCAATTCTATATCATGCGTTTTTCTGTTTTTTTTTTTAAATGTTTGTCTACATGAGGCACAATGAATGTTACAGTCTTTAATAAATTAATTTGTTCTTTCAAGGCTGACATTTTTTCTCTTTTTTGAGGGAAGTCTTTCTAATTCATTCTGAACATGATTCCTATCACTCCATACGCCATGTGAATTTATTTTTTCCACTGCAGAATTAAGCTGTTTTTCTTTCTTTTGATTTTTCAACAGTACAGTTTTTTGCCTCTCTCTTATTTGTTCTAAGTGTTTTTTGAATAAATTTTGCTTTCGCTCTTTCATGCTTTCAAAACTTTTGTATGTCTTTTTTCTGGCTTTTGTAATTATTTCACATTGTCCCGATTCAGATTTTGATTTCAACCATTCGATCAGATGTTTTATTATTTTTTAAACACGATGATGCTCTCCATTGTATTAATATTGTAAGTGGGAGCTTTTGCAATGTTTGAATCTTGACAAAAGTCTTTCTACATTTATATTTAAAAAGATTTGATGACACTTCATCATGATGATCTAGAGTTGGACCACAGAACAAGCGGATTTTGTTGTGTAAAAGCAATTGAGGATTTTCAATACAGGTTTCAAGAAAACAACTCTTCTTTATACACTTCCAATTTCAACTGCAGAAGTAAAAACTTCTGCATAAGTCCAATAAGGCTGTGTAAAAATTACATTAAGAATTCCTAGTGCACGTAAAATACACAAAATACTGTTATCTGCAAGAGCTGTACAAATGTAAGTATGAATATAATTAAAAGAACTCTTTGATTCTTTTAGGTACGTTAAAATAAGTTCAGGAAGATAAAATGTTCCTGCTGAATTGTAAAACAGTATTGAATCTGTTTCCCCTAAACGTCATGATTGGTGCCCTTGAAATATTCAACTTTCAAATATGTTGCATCAAGTAAGGGGTCAGCACATCCATCTTTGTATCAAATTTTATTTTACGACCTTTTCTAGTTTAGATATTTCTTTCAAGCAAACATCCGAAAATTGCAAAAGAGGATGCACAGAACATTTAAAAGAATTTATAGAACAATCATGATTTGAATGGCACTTTTTTCAATCTCCAAAATATTGAACTCTGTAGCTCTTCTATACGTCATAAGATTACCCACATTTTTCATAATATTAAAATTGGGGTCTTCTGACTCAGTACGTCAATCATTAAAAATTTCTTTCAAACAATTAACATGTGTTTCTGGTTTTCCATCTACAATCTTCCTCAACCCAGCTGTAATTTTTTTTCCATTTGTGGAAACTTCCACTCCATAATAATGTTTTCCTTTCATTGTTGTTGCATCCTTGTGAATTGTTCAATGATTTAAGTCATTTATTTCCGAACAAATATGAGCACGACTAATAATACCAAGCTCACTACTTAACTTTGCAACAGTTGATGGATTTGGCAACTCTGTCCTCTACATAAACATCAACTAGACATAACGCTTTTCCAATAATGGGATTAATATGTTGAGAAGGAATATTTCTACTTCTAAATTTGAAATGGTATGTCCTTGCACCTTTTGAAAAATGTTCTGAATGCCAGAATTATTTATCATTTTGGTGAGTTTCACAGTAACTATAACGAAATATTTACCATAAATTCTGTTAATGATTAGCATAAATTTCCATGTCGTTATATATATATATATATATATATATATATATATATATATATATATATATATATATATATATAAATCGCCTTCAGAGCACTAAGGGTTCACTTTACCCGGCGTTTATCTGTCTGTCTCTCCGTCCGTCTGTCACAACCTTAATCTTAAGAACTGTAAGACGTATGGATTTAGTATTTTAAACATATATTGCTCGGACCTAGGGCTTTTGTAAATTAATATGGTTACCGACCTAGTGACCTTTGGCCTACTTTTCAAAATAGCTCATAATGCCAATATACACCATATTTTTTTTTTTTTTTACATTTATGAAGTTAGTCTGTGTTATTAAGCATGTGCACTGTTCGTAATAAGACTACATGAAAAATACCAGAATTACAATCCACTTGACCTTAACCTTTGACCTACTTTGCAAAGAATACATGCATCTCTGGCGGTTTAATTAAACTGATGACTTTTGAATTTTGAGAGGCAGGGTTTTGATAATTAGCATTTATACATGCTTATGGGCTCATGATAGTGAACTGAAACCGTATGATATTCATTTACCAGGTAAACTTATATTTCTAAATACTATGAAAATACATCGGGATCGATATTCCAGAATTGATCGTGTAGACTGAGAATTTCAATCTCCCTTGCAGAGTTGTCGTTCGTTTCTCTCTCAGACACCTCTGCAATGGGCTCACGTCAAGATTTTTGACGGAAATTTAAAAGTGGTATTTTAAGGATATTTTCAAATTAAAATAATACTTCTACTTAAAATAAATAAACAGCTACTAAAAGAGACATACATTAAAGCAGATAATTAAAGATAATGAATTAATTCAAGCGCACTATTTTTTTGGGAGAATAACGTAGAGATATTAATACGCGTATGTAAATAAACATGGACGTGATCGACGAGGCAGTTAAGAAATACGACAAGAACTTGGTTTTAAAAGATAAACAGAGGGAAGCATTGGCTCATGTGGTTGAGGGAAAATGTGATCTTGTTGTTAGCCTTCCCGTTGGGTATGGAAAAAGTGTTATTTTTCACCTTTTACCATTCATCTTCGAACAGACTAGAGAAAATCCGGTAGTGTTGGTTATTTTACCATTAAACATTATTCAGAAAGATCAATTATCTGTGCTAAGGGAGCATGGGATTACTTCATGTAGACTTAATATTGTTGCAAATGTTGTTCATGGTTTGGAAGATGATAAAGAGACTGAATACATGTGCAAGTCTGATGAAAACGTCGAAGATGTAAAGCATGGAAAGTTTCACATCGTATTTTGTCACCCTGAAGCATTATTTAACACCAACAAAGGAAGAGAGCTGTTAAATAGTGAAATTAGCCAGCACATTGTATCTGTTATTATAGACGAGTGTCACATCATAGAAAAATGGTAATTATTTGAAATTAATTCAAGTGGTTTAATTTTTTTCTTAAACATTCACTGGTGCAAGGACTACTAGGCCAGAGAAATTCACTGGTCCATAATACTTCAACAGTATATCAGTTGTCCATTTGCAAATTACAATTAAAGTTTAAACATTTTTAAAGAATTCGAAAACCTCCTAATGGTATAACTTGTTCTATAGTAAAGTAGTACTTAAACTGCATTATTTTTTAATCAGCTATGATGAATAAAGGAGAAGTAGCCCTTTTCACTTTTGAAATTTTATAATACAACACATGTATTTTTTAATTTTCATTTTTTATTAAAATTTCTGGTCTGACGGCCATTTGGTGGGTAGTAATTAAGTAGTCTGTCTTTAATATTTCAGATCTTAGACCATTGATTTTTAAATCTGTTATTTCTAATTATTGATTGATTCAAGCAAAACCTCCTGAATAAATAAGCTGCAGTATGTTTTTGTAGCTTTAATGAGCTGTATAGATCTGTTTAATCTCATTGAGATTCATAAAGACTAAAAATTTTGGACGGAACGTCTTTTCGAAAAGCTATTCAGTATGTATTAACATAATTATGAGGTTTGATAAAAATATTATGAATGGTTTCTTTAAAACTGGGCTAAACACTAATTTAAGAAAAGTGAGGACAATGTCAAAAGAAAGGTCAAGTTCAAAAAATACTGATGCAGTTGAATAGCATACATCAGTATCTTTGAAACTTAGCTTTGAACTGAGCTAAACGCAAAGCGCGACGGAAGACGGACATAACAAACACTATATGCTCCGGCCATATTCATGGCGGGGGATAAAAAAGGGGGATGTAAAAGTGAAAACTATCATGCCAAGGGGTCACAGAAAAAATCTGATAAAACATGTCAGCCTGTCTGTTCTGTCAAAAGTGGTTTCTAAACATATTACATTTCCTGCTCTCTTCTCTTAAACCACTGAACTTTTGGTTCATGGGCTTCTCATAATATTTAACATTAATTTTCCATTTATAGTTTTTTTCTAGTGTGTTTTAATGACTCCTTTTATTCAGGGGAGAAGAGTTCAGATTAGCCTTCAAGGCATTACCAACTTTAAAGTTCTTTTTCCCTGATGTTACTTTCTTGGCATTGAGTGGAACTCTTACAACTACACAGAAACAAGATTTACCAAAAATGCTAGGACTTAATAATTTCAAAATAATAGAATGTAGTCCAGATAAGCCAAACATTTTTCTGGAGAAATTTGAGAAGGAACATGCCTCTGATGTTGAAGAGGAGTATGAAAACATTGTCAACTCTCTCTTCGACAAATTTTTCATAAAAAGGGAGAATTTCCCAGTTACTTTAATCTATGTCCCTGTTTATTATATGAGTAGGGCCGTTATGTATTTAAACAATTTATTCAAACCTGGCAACATTGATGATGCTATTTACAGTGCCATTTGTTTTGCTCAGGATCAGTATGTAGACAGAACCATGCAAGAACTTAAGAAAGAACATTCACAGATAAGACTTGTTCTAACTACTTCCATATTGGGAATGGGGTTCGATCCAGAAAATGTTACACGTTGTGCATTCATGTCCCCCAAGGAACATTTCACAGTATTTTCAAAAACTTGGTCGAGCAGGACGCAAAGGTCAACCGTCTGTGGCATCACTTTATTACTCTGCAAGAAACACTGCAAGAAACCTCCCTGGTATAAGTGAGGACATAATTCAATATTGTAAAAATGACACTTCTATACTTATAAATTAATAAATTTTGCAAATAAACTCCGAAACGGGTGCACCAGAATTCTTACTTACTCCTCTAACAATACACTAGATACAAGATGATGTTCGTAAACTATATTTAGATTTCACTCGCATAGTAAGTATCGTACATTAAAAGTCTACTTTTATTTTCTATAAACAGCCATGAAATAGCAAAAACGTGAGTACGGTGGCGTTCCCGGTTGGCGGATCTAAGTTACTGGCAATTTTTAATGAAAGTGACAACAAGCAATCGTTTATTTATTTCATAAAACGTCATGACTGAATTATTCAATCAAAACTTGTTTTAAATGATATAAAAGAAATAAGTTGTGAAAACCGATTAAAAAGGGAAATGTAAAAATTGTTTTCGTCATTCACCGATCTTAATATAGACGGAAGCTTCTAGAACATCATATAGCATCGAGCCCGATGTTTAAAAAAAACGAGGCGCTTATAGCTGCACAACATAAAAAAAAAAATTGTGTGATTGGTCATTGAAATAATGGTAAATCATTGATAAAACTATAAGTTGTGAATATATTACATATCGAAAGACTATTATAAATATATATATATATATATGTGTGTAGTAGGTTTTCCTAATAAATTTATCGGTAAAATTTGTATATATTCCTTACTGAGAGCATCGTGGCAACGAACCCGAAGTACAATTTGTACTTCGTAATAAACTTGCTTACATGTAAAGAGAAAATTAATGAATAAGGTTGTGTTCAAAAACAATTACAGATGTAAAATTTTGTACTTTAATCAATACATTTCTTTTTTTTTCTGAAAACAGTCTTTTGTATCAAATACTTGGCCTATTCATAGGGCATTAAAAGCTAATTTTCCAAAGGTACTTGAGTATTGGTTTATAAATATGTATGTATCTTATTGATATGTAAAAAAGTAAAGTACATTATTTACATATCAGTAAGGTACAAACATATTAATAAACCAAGACCCAAGTACCTATGAATCCCCCCCCCCCTCCCCCAAATCAATTTATCAGTAAAATATGAATATTCACTGGTTTTATCCTTGACGGAAATGCAATAAGAGCATCTGAAGTACAATATCTATAACATAGTATAACAGGTTTCACAATAAACGTCAATTAATGAAAAATGTTAATTTTCAAGTTTTTACAAAGGGGTTGGGGTGGGGGTTGAAGACGTACATCTACTTCATGCGAGATTTTGAACAAAGTATTTCTTCCTGCTATAAGACTGAAGCCTGTCATTAGAAACTACAATATATTTTCTGTCGGTAGTAGTATAGATTCAATTCCCCGCACTTGCGCGGGATTTTATCTAGTCTTGTTTAAGAAACTGCATTCTTTCAGTTTTTGGGTTTCAAAAGAATTCAAATATTGTTGATTGTAAATGCTGTTGTATTTGCAAGAAAAAATTTAATTGTGAAGATTGTTTAATATCAAATATTGTCATACCAGATTCCTAAAGTGATTTTTAAATACATGTATACAACTTGAGATTGTTAAAGAACTATACACGCTAACTCTCGATTCCCGCCTACATTTTACATCCATTTAATTCAATACTTATGGCAATTTGACCGTAAAATCTTTGTTGGATGCAAAGAACAGTTCAATGGTAATTGACTGATAATTTTAATGCCAGTGTTAAATAGTTAATTACCCCTAACTCCAGGTCTTAAAATAAGGGGGGTAGACGATATTTTCCATTGAAATCGGGCTTTAAAGCATCAACACATTTTAAAATATTCTTGGATATGAATAAATGTTCTTTAAATCTTTTCTTATGTTTTACGCATATAAAATTAAGCATATATTATTAATGAAATACAATGTTTTAGTTGTAAAACCCTTTGAAATTGGTGAAAAAATAAGCATTTTTGTAGTTTTTTGTCTGTAAACTTATGTCCCCCCCCCCCCCTGTGAAACACAAAAAGCTTTGGTATGAATTTGTGAAATGACAGTCCATATTACCTGTAAAAAGGAATTTTTGTTTCACGGGGGGGGGGGGTGTTTTAAAAATATTTTCCGTTTTCCATTGATTTCTTTAGTGAAAAACACAAGTTTTACCCAAATTATAGAGTTATCTCTCTTTGTTTTCCCAAAGAAGTAATGTTTTATGAAAATTCATATAAATATTTATATAAATATGAAAAATCTACCCATTCACATGTGTTAACTTTCGAAAATTGACTTGGAGGTAGGCGGGAGAACAATACTATCGTTCGCAGTTCTTTGCTGAAATTAAATATTGTCATAACTCATTCACAAAATCTACTCCACTTCTGAATCATTATCATTTTCATCAACATTTACATGAAGACCTTTGTGAGACGGGAGATAATTTGATTTAGTCTAGCATGCATGCCTGGTAGTTTATCAAATGTTACAGGAACAATGTCAATGTTACTGAAGCCTGGACACTTCCTCCCTGGTGTAAAACGAAAAGGTCTAAGCCTTCGTAATGTTCGTGACACTAGTTTTTGGTCAGCTTCATTGAGAGGTTTGCTGTGACTCCCAGATTTAGGTTTGATATAAACACCCTCATCAAACTTTTCACAGATATTTGAAATAGTTTCTGCAGCACCTGTAACTCTTTTAATGGCATTTTCACTCTTGTTTGCTCCTAAAGATTTAATCAGCATTTTCTGATTGCAGACTGAGTGTTCCTGAGTCAGATCACTCTCAACATTTTGCCCTTGACCACCATTAATGTTTACGTAAGATCCCTCAAGAACACACATTCTTTGTAAAGGGCTCAAGAGGTACTTGCACTTCAATACATAGTCAATATTTTCAACTAAGTATTTACTAAGTTTAGAGTGAGAGAAGAAGAATGGTAGTGAGTACTGACAGTTCAAGATTGTCCTATTCAAGTCTCCTTCTTTTGCAGTATCATTTAATTCATTCAGGTGCAAGTACCATTGGCAAAGCTGAACTGAATAATTATACAACTCATCACTTTGCTTGTTTGTAGGAACCAACTGTATTTGTATATTTTGTCCTTCAGGTGTAATGATGCAAATTTTGTCTGCTTCATCCTTTTTTGGACAGTCTACTTGACCATAACCAAAGTGTTTCATGAACTCTTGAATTAGTTTCATTAAGTTGTCTCTCTGATTCTCTGGGTCATCAAGGTCCTTTGTCATATGATGTGTTGGTTGGCTATCAAAAGACTCCATGTTGAGAAATTCAAGAAACTGTTCTTGGACCATCCATTCTCCAACAAGCATCAAGAGTTCAAAGTGTGGCTTAAACCTTCCTTTTACTTTTCCATTCACATCTGTTCTGTGAAGAATGGTCTTGAAGTGGGCAAGGGTTCCCTGGCTTGAGGAATGTTTTTCTCCAAAAAACTTTTTGTAACATTTCTGAAAAAATATGCTAAATCCACTAAATTTATATGGTAATTTCAGTCTCTTAAGTGCTATCCCTTGTACCCTATCTGTGTCCACCACTAAATATAGTTAAGAGGGTAGGAAAAATACATATGTTCATACAGTTCATATGTATTTTTCCTACCCTCTTATAATAAACTATATTTAGTGGTGGACACAGGACACAGAGAGGGTACAAGAGATAGCGCTTAAGAGAGACAGCCAACAAATGAAGTTACGGGTCAATTACACTGGTTGTAGGCATGTGCCCCCTCCCATCTTGAAATTTTCAAAGATTAAAGACAAATATGCAATCAATCATTTTAATTCATGTTAAAGATTGACCATATTAAGAATTTTGGAGATTCCCAAAAACCAAAAAGTAGGCCTAATCTCTTAATACATCTTTTTAAATGTTTCCAAACTTCTAATGATTACATTCCCTCTAATACAGATGTCTCCTATAAATTGAAATATTATGTATGAAAAACTGTATTTTTTATTCATTAAAGTTTAATTATTTTTCTTTGATATTGAGAAGATTATAAAAAGATACAGAACCTTCCAAGGGCATATATTGCACTATGTTAAAACAATACAAACATAATCAATGTCTTTTGGGATACACCTAGGCTCTACATTTGAACAATTTTAAATCCCCTTAAACCAGTGTTCTGTACTAAGTTTGGTTGAAAATACAGTTGTTCTCACATCTGAAGAGAAAGTTAAAATTTATATAATGGGTAAATTTGTAATAAAGGGGCAGCTAAAGAGGGGGACATACTGACTGAAACAGGTGATAAGAAAATATCAGTTGAGCTACAATTTATGAACTTCAAATATATTATGATCTATACACAGAAAAGAAATTTTTAATTCACCTCTAGAAAATCTTGCTTTGAATGCCACATCTCACATACGATTGGATGTAAATCGGCATATCGCCTCTCTGGAGTGACAGCTAATGATCTTATATTTTTGGTCTCCTGAAGTCGTACTTGAGTCAGCTGATCACCACCTAAAGGTACCCCATACCTTCTTAGCGCGTCTATGTTTCCTGAAGCAAATTTGAAATTTCATCAATCTAATGTAATGCATTACATTTAATTAAAGTCTGCTGAAAGTACAAAGTTATATTAATACATGTACATATAATATATATATTTTGAAATTAGTAATCAGCACTATACTTTATTATTAAAAAGGTAATGAAAACAAAAGATTTACCAAATGCATTTTTAAACAGCCTGGTTAGCTGATTCTCATAGCTATCCATGATTCCCATACACTCCTCATGTTTGGATTCATTGAAGAACATAATTGGTAGAGGGAAAACTTCAAATCTGGTGGCCATCTATTGGCTGTATTCATGGGGAATATGACATGGTACTTGCTTCTTGAGGTTTTCAAAAGCAGGAATTTTACACAGAATACTTGCTAGGAGAACACTATATGCATCCAAGAACTTGGCTTTCTCCATACTCCATATTAGTCATTAATAAATGTTCGCTTTTAAGCTGCTGAACATTTGTACCTGGAGCAGTGTTGGACATGTCCATAGTAGCAATCCTACTGAAGATGATGTTGCTGGGAAACAAATGTCAATCTTTGTTCCTTCTCTCCCTGTTTAATGAACTGGTCTTCACATACACATCAACATTGTCTCCTTAAATTAAATTCAAATATCTATAAGCTACCCAGCTGTTCCCTGCAACAAACTTGCTTCTGAATATTCTGATTACATATTTCCAGTTGTACCAGACAATATAATTTTAGGCCTCAAATAATGAGGTTTGCATTGAACACTAAACAGATAGTCATAAACATGCCATTGGTCAACTTAAGGTATAACATTGAATGCACAAAACTGATAAACTTGCCTGTAATTTTCATCAAAGGATTTAACTTTATGGTGTCCACAATATTCTTCTCTGCCTTTTTTGTGAATGTCCTCTTGTAATGAAACTCGGACAGACCATGAAAGTAACAACCCTAAATGGTTCAGTCTGGTTTGGGCCTGTAGGTTTAAAAAAAAATCATATATACTTTATAATACATGTACTAGTATGTGATAACTAACTCAATTACATGCTAAATAGCTGATCTCGTGGAGTCAAATTTAAATATATAAAATTATCTGCTTTATACTTTCAGATCAGTTGAGCTAAAAAGCACCAAAGTAAAAGTTATAATTTTAATTCTCTCATGAAAAGCACATTCTCAAAACAATTAACTTTTATTTGCATATGAGTCAATAGAAATACAGCGTATTAACTTACATATTTTTTCTTCATTTTCAATGGCGGAAGATAAACAATTCAAGAAAACTGAAATATCAGGAAACAACAACAGAGACAGTGTTAATAGTAATAATGAACAACTCAATATATACTTTAAATCACTTTTAATATGTGAGGATTTTATATTAATGTAGTAATGTGATCGAGACAATGTACTCATGAAAATCATGAACATACATGTATGTATATACATATCATTGAAGACAACGGAATTTTTGGTTAAGTTTTTCTTGACTTCAAAACCAAATAATGATTAAAAAAATTGTGTCAAAAGTGATCTACAGTAGGTGGAGCAACGTAATTGTCATGAAAGCCCAGGGATGTTATGGATTTTGTCTGTGTTACATTGCTACTAAACTGTATTTCAATTAAGTAGAAATTAAGCATGAACCCTAAATGTCTCTCGATGAATTAATATGCCCACCTTAAGTTGACAATATAACAGTTAACATGGTTAGTACATGTAATGAAATACAATTTAAATAATTTAAACATAAAATCTCAACATCCATGAAAATACATTACTCTTTGACAAACCAAATGAACTTAACCTCTAAATTTACTAGAATGGGTAGTAAGTGTATATAAAATAAATAAAGTTGAACACTGAAAATAATTATTATTTAACAAACCCTCTCATCTAAGCCTCGGTCGCCCGCGTGGCGCAGTGGTTAGAGCGTCTGCTCTAGAGTCGCGAAGTAAGGAGTTGATCCTTACGTCGCGGGTTCGAATCCCACTGTGGGACGTGGAAGACCGGTCCTTCGGATGAGACCGTATAAACCGAGGTCCCGTGTCGCAGTAGGTGCTGGCACGAAAAAGATCCCTCACTGCTCAATGGCCGTAAGTGCCGAGCATAGGACAAAATTTGCAGCTCTCCACCGGCAAGTGGTGGCGTCTCCATATGAGTGAAACATTCTCAAGAGGGACGTTAAACAACATACAAACAAACAAACAAACATCTAAGCCTCCTTTTATTGCAATAATTGATGTATGTGGAATGCTGAAAGGTTGTCATATTTGTTTTTCATCAGAATGCTGTAAGACGCAGCTAAAGCTAGAATGATTGTTTCCTTTAACACATTATTGGCAGGAACTGCTACAGCTAAATGGCCTTTACTAATAATGTTACCCTGAAAAAAATTACTGAATCAATGTTAAGGATTTTACATTTAAGTCATATAATATGAAATACTAAATATAATTACAATATTCACATTCATATGAAGTTCTAAATACTGGTATATGATTTATTTTATATCTTATTGTCTTGTTTGAAGATATTGTCTTTTTCACTCAAGTTTTGAATAATGATATTCTTCTTAGATACTGGATACATCATAGATGAGTAGCTCTAGCTAGAATCCACAATTTTCATAGTGCTTGGACTGACTGCTTAGTGACACAAATATATATGAGCACAAATTGCACACCATGCAGTTATGTTACAAAGCTAGCTAGAGTATTTAAGGAGGGTGCGTTACAGGCATGAATATAAAATGAAAGAAACAGATCAGAGGTTTTCTACTAGGGGAAGAAAAGATAAGAATAGATGCTTCATTTCTGATACTTAGATGATGTGTAACACTGATTTAAAGGCTGTACATGTACTTACCAAGCCTGAAGTAAAGAAAATATAGAATTTGTATCTATATTGTATAAATAGGAAGCAACAGTTATAAACTGCAAAGTAAACCAGGAAAATAAAGTTCCTATAATTATTTTTAATGCTAATATTCATACAAAACAAAAGTACATACCTACCTACTCTGCCTAAAAATGGTGAATTGAAGAAGGGAAAATGAGCACATTTTTAACTTTGGTCTTATCAGTTTGACATATACATGTAGTGGTTTCTAATTAATACAATTTAACATATGTGAACTGACATAAATATTTAAATAAAATAAATATTTAAAATGAGTAGTATATTGAAACAAACATGAAAATACACACCTATTGATCATCTCATCCACAATCTCCTCTGTGAAATTATCAACAAGTGCTTCCAACTTAGAAACATCCCTGCATTTATACAAGACAGACCCAAAAGTTGCTGTTCTGGAAGTAAGTGTAGATGAAAGAGACCTCAATTCACACAGCATCTCATGTGATGAAATTTCTGCGAAAATATTTGATAATTTCTCTAGAGTCTTCTTACTTCCTGGGTTGTCTAATGTCTTGGTCTGCTTTGCCATGCTGTACCTGTGTTTATTACAATTTTTGTTTTAAAAACCTCTTTGGATTAAATTGAGTACACATATTTCCTTCATTACATAACTGAATCAGTAATAAACAGTTACTGTAATAAACTGTATAAGGCCTAATTAATTGTGTACCTGTTTATACTGTCTTTGTGTGAATGTTTCTTAATTTGTTGTTGTTATTGTTACAACATGACACTGTTCAAAGTTGACTATTCCTACCATTCCTTCCTTGCAGGATCCGCAGACTAATACCACCTTGCTTATAAAATAAAATAAATTAAGAACCAGTTACATACTCATGGTCATTGATTATCAGTAAGTCTGGCTCCAATTTTGGACCAGCTGGTACAGGTTCAAGTTTTAACTGCTTCCTACTCTTCGAGTTTACACCCGAAATATCTTTGCACGCCACAGGATTGTGGGTTTTGGGGGTCAAAGGCGAGGAGGCGCATCTTTTCACTCTCACTGAACCTTCTTCTTAATATCTTCACTGGCGGATTTAAGGGGGGGGGGCGCACGCCCCCCCCCCCCCCAAAAAAATTTTCAAAGTATGACATGACTAATATTAATAATGCCATACTTTGGTTTTATAACTAATGGTCAATTAAAAAATGGTAATTTTAGTTAATGACCAAGTATCGGTTTTCTTAAAAATGAAGTCTGAAAACCTCGCATTCCCTAGGCTATGAATATTATCTCATAATTATTCAAACCGGAAAATGTCTCCCGATTTTGTTTGAAGGGTAGACTGCACTTGTCAATTTCCTATCATGATGCAAGGAAAAATACTGCAATATTTAAAGGCTGGTCGAAGGTAAATACTTGTAAATGAATTTAAAATCAGACGGTCTACGTTACAAACCCGCCCACTGATTCATGTATTTATTTATCAAATGGTGTAACTATGCAGTAATTTACTTACATAGATACAAGACTTTTTTTCATTACCCACATCTCGTAATCTTTCCATATAAATGGAATTTAACGTCAGGATATAGGTTAGGATGGTGTAACTTCGACCACCTGGTTATTTTCGACCGTTCATAAATACCTTAAAATAATTTGTTTATAACCCATTATAGTGTACATACATCTACATGTATTTTATGCTGAAAGAAAATGCATTTTTCATACACTGTAAACACTGTGTTTAGAAAATAAACACTTCCATTACGTGTTTAGACCTAAACATGTTTAATATTATGTTTAAAAACTAAACACTTACGTCTTAACATGTGTTATATCTAAGCGCGTTTAGATATAATACGTGTTTAGATATAAGTGTTTAGAAATTGAACACTTTTCTTTGAAATACAGAGTTATCTTCCCGGAAATGACGCGTATATATTTGAACGTTAATTAGAACGGTTATCGAAACAAAGAAAATCCAAATGTAAGCTAAAAGAAGATGTATCAAAGGATGTGAATGATAACCAAAGTGATAACCATGAAGAGATTGTGAAGGACATTTGAAAGGCATCTTATTACTACGATACAAGGTCTGTTTACTGTTTTTATTTTACATGAATTGACCACAATGAGCAACGTAAATATAAACATGCACTTACACATGAATGTAGATCAAGATTTCCTTCGGTCATTTTGCATTCATGAAAGCTAGAGAGGAGTATCTATATCGAATTTCATTAAAAACATCTATATCAGTATTAGTACTATATAATAGTTAATTGATTTTCACTAAAAGTTGCACAATAATGTCTATCAAACAAATGTAAAATTTCAGTGAGGAGCATACTTTTACTATAATTTAAATTTCTTTCTTACAGGATATAGTACAGATCGAACTTAAAAGCAAAAACACATGTATCAGAGTAACTGGTGTCATCTCCAAGTTCAAGTGCATTTGTTGTTACAATTCAGCATTTCTCACATTCTAGAGGAAAATGGAATTTGAAAAGTCTACTGTTCGGTAGTTTTGAATACCATTCTTGTACATTGGAAATGGATTACTTCCTAACTCCTGACAGTCATCGATGTATACAAATCATACACTGTGTATGTGTTGCTAGTGAAGGACTTGCTGAACGTTAATAAATTTGATGAACCTTTTGTTACTGATGTGAGGAGAAACTGCTTGCTGAACTGATTAATATTGAAATTAACTATAATAAATGATTATGTTTAAGCATACATGTATATTTAA